TAGTTGAAAATATATAATCATTAACAATACAAGGAAAAAATTATGAGTTTTTATAAAAGTCCACGAATTTAAGTAAATTACAAATTCACGTATACTTTTATATATAATATGCTTTAGTGATATAAGATAAAAGTTGTTGTAACTAATTAAGCAAATATTCCTTTTATATATAAATAACCTCACTATATTATAGCTATGATACCGTTTAATGAAAACATACACAAAAATATACAATACTTCACATAGAATTGTTCGTGTCAATTAAACACCATTTTTATATTTTTAATTAAAGAATGATTATAAATAACATTTAAAAATTATATTTTATTGAATGCACTGAACTTTTCATAAATATGAACGTGTTTATGAAATGTCCTAGTTATTCTTGTCACGAAGTAATAGCTATATACTTATTTAAAATTTATTTTTTCTGTAAATTTTTAATTATAAATATATATTTTTTAAAATAAGAAAAATATATCAAACGTTTTATGGGTTTATATAATATCCATTTAAAGTAATGTATAGTAAATAAAATTTAAACGTATATCAATAATCAAAATATGATGATATACATATATAAAAATCACATATAAGTTATTTTAAGTAGACATAAGAATATTATTATTAATATTAATAATATATAAATAGTACTTCTTAAATATAGTATGGAAATGGAGGAGTGCTTAATGATTGCAAAAAAAAAAAATATATATATTAAGAAGTCTATTAAATTCATAGCTTTAACAAAAATAGTGATATCTACCTGTCTAATTGAAGTATTCAAATAAATCCTTATTAATATAAATTATATATACGAATAACAAAAATCATATTGTGTATAAAATACAAAAACCTATAATATTTAATTTAATCTATACTGTCTATGACACTTTGTTTTATAAACAATATGTATAGAGAATATGTATTATAACTGTAATATGTACTACAATATTATATGTATTATTAAGAATTTCAAATAATTAATTTCACACTCATGTTGCAAAATATCATGGCATACATAAAATATGTATATTTGTATAATATATCCTATAAACCAATATACATATATATTTCATAGAAGATAATATTATATGAATTTCGAGCGATAAAATTTCATTAAAATATACAAAATCAGAATCCTAAATAGAAAAGTATTTCCGTATAAATATTATTATGAATATTTCAATATATTAGTAATTAGATAGTTAAATATATGATTTTTGTATTTTGTTTTTATATCACTTTTTGACATTCTTCAATAATGAGTGATACTTTAGGGGTACGTTTTTTATTTAATATAAATTATTATTTATGTTAAAATGACATAATTCTCATTAAATTAATTTTTATATTTTTTTTTAATAAATAAAAAACATACATATTTTCTTTTGTTTTAAATTCATAGGATGAAGTTCTTAATAATTTACCTACTAAAAAGAAGTACACTATTTTCGATAAGAAAAATGAATATTGTTATAATTCTTATATTGAAAATAATGCAAAAAATCTCTTAGGAAACAAAGGGGAGCTTGCAAATGTTTCTAATAAAATATATAATGCCTTATGTTATGCATATAATCAATATAAGACAAAGGTATTTAATAGTGAAGATTGTAATTATCTGTACTTTTGGTTAGTTGATATGTTAGACAAAAATTTAACAGATGAAAATTCCTTTTACGCTGCTATGATAAGACTTAATTTTATACTAGAGCAAGCAAGTCTGAGTACATGTAATTCTAGTATTTATAAAATAAATCCAAAAAATGTTAAGAATATAAAGATATTATTTGATTTTTCTAAAGATTATGATGAACTTAAAAAACATTTTCCTACATCTAATAAGCCTTGTAATGGTTCTTTTAAGTTACATCTTGATGGATATGTCATGAAATATACTGAGTTCAAAAACATTTGTAATGATTCATATAATAGCCATGAGACATGTACAGCTTTTAAAAAATATTTTACAGATAAGAATAATTTAAACTTAACTCAATGGACATGTAATTTAGCAAGAAACATTAATGATCATGCAGCATCACAAGAACTTGGAAGAATGGGACAACACACTGTACAAGAAAAATTATTAATAGCCGAGACATATTCACTTGAACAGAGTAGAATACATGGAGTAGGCGAATATACAAGTGAAGACATAGATGAAGAAATTGATAAAGGAATGGAAGGTACAACAACAGAAGGTAGAGAAAAAGAAGTTGCTGGAATAAAAGATGAAAATATAGAAGGTGCAGTAAAAGGAGTTGAAGATATAGGAGTTATATATATAGGAAGTGCACAAAAATCAGGTTCTGATGGAGGAGGTGCTCAAAAAGAAGCTGAAGTCATAACGGCTTATCCTACATATGAACAACAGATAATAAACACACATTCAGAAGATCCTTCTCTGGATGTTAACAATACAAAATCGAGTACACGTATTGATTTTTCAGCATATTCTTCTTCAAATACTATGGTCATTGCTTCTTTATTTGTAGGAATTACAGTTTTTTTCATTATACTATACAAAGTAATTGTTAATGTAAATAAAAAGATAATATGTATTACATTATATTATATATATTTTATTAATTTTTAAATAAGTCTACAAATATTATTCATAAATTATGTTCTACATACATCATATTTTGATTAGTTTTCTCCATTTGGGTATTGGTTAAAAAAATCCTTACTGCGAAAATATAGAAGGAAACATAATATAATAATGGGTGGAAATACAATAAGAAATTATTCGATTTCTGAAGATATAGATTCACCAAGAAGATTTAGTGTAAAATACAATAGTAATATATAATACTTCTGATTAGGACACAAAGAGGAATAATTTTGTCATATATATCTGTATCATGATAAGTTCTGACGTACATAATTATCCATCTAACAAGGGATATATATTTGTTTTTTTTTTTAGTAATACAATAATAAATTTGAAATAAATATATTTATTATATAAATA